TTACAACATATGAACAGTGGAAACCAGACTATGATTTAGCTGTATCCTATACTATCAGAATACAGTCCTCTAAATGTCAGTGCACTAGAATTCGACAGCCTTCAACCTGCAGGTCAATAGTGAGGGTTAGTGGGAAGTACAGTTCCCATCTACCCCTAGTGTAAAAGCTTCTTCAGAAGTAGGTCTCTCTAAACTCACGGAGCTCATTTTGAGGTCAGTGAACAGCAATCGACTTGCAATTAAGAACTGCAACCTTCACTGGAACAAAACAGGTTGTTTCTGGAGAAATGCATGAATTCTGGAGAGGACTCCTCAGCGTGGTGTCACCGTAGTTCCTGGGGACTGCCCAGACACTGCTATTAGAAGTCGCCGTGAGGCAACATATGACAGTCTAAGTGACTTCCTCATTTGCTTGGTGGACAGTTGACCAACGGTTCCCCAGAAAGAGCAAAATCTCACACCGCAAAATGCTTCTTCTACAGCAAAAGCATTAAAATGTAGGCAACTTACTACTGTACATGCAACGATACTATTTTGGCAGCTATCCTTCGTGTCCTTTATATGAAGAAAGAGAAAAAGGGTTGCACCATGCAACCTATGAAAAAAAAATGTGGGCCTCTTAACAGCCTGGCACGCTTACTACACTTGGCCGTAATGTGGTCTGATTTCATTCCGGCTTAGCTGTTGCATGGGCCCACCTGTTAGAGATCAGTGTTATGTTTAGCATGTGCAACAAATCAAGCTGAGTTTATTTTGCTTCGGGGGCTTAGGAGAATCGTGGCTGGTGACCTGATATGAACAAGGGAAGAAGGGTTAAGAGAGAAAGCTGCGGAAGGACCTGAAGTGTGTTTATCCCCAACGGCGTCGCGTTCAAGCTCAATCAAACTCATCCCCTGGAGCAGCGGTTCGCAAAGTGGGTCCCGCAAAGTCAAATCAATAAATACTTTAACCTTTCTCGCTCTTAAGGTCCAATACGGCACGGACTGACAGATGTAACCCACGCAGCCTCGTTGGGCTCCCCAGTCCTTTGGAGGCGGTCGAGGGGTCCGGAGACCAAAGGGCTTGCGCGGCGCTGCCCTGGAGCCAGCCAGCCAGCCCGCCCAGGACCGAGCCCGCCGCCCTAAGTGCGTCTGCGGCGCCTCCGATCCTAGCCTGGCCCGGGCGTTGGAGGATCGCGGCGAGGCAGCCAGAAAGCACCGCCGGCTGTCTTTCCCGGGGCTGCATTTCGGAGGGGGCCCCAGGACCCCCGAGACA